GTTTTGCATTATATGGCCGTTTGCTGTTTTATGGATTTTTCCATTTGCCTTTTTAAATTTATATATTATTGCGAGATCCGGCGCCGCCATTGATGCACGGTAGAGATTGCATCTTTAGATCTCTGATCTTGTTCACTAATTCACGGACTAGTGCTGTCTCGTAAGAATTTTGTAGGACGCGTTAAGTATGACAAAATATTCTCTGTATCTGCTGGTACCGAGCCGTATATTGTATTCCACTATTTGCATTCACACCTGGGCTGTGTATATATATTGCCTTGGTTTGGCTCTATAATCATTAGTGGTCGTGGGACTAGTTCGGGCCCTACCTAAGCTGGTCGAACGTTTTGTTTGGGTCTGTACCCTAGCTGCACTGATGAGGCCTGGAAGGCCGAAACGGATCCGTCTCCAGATATTGGGATTTCTTCCAGTGGATGCTTAGTTTATTTTGTCATTCTGATCGGATTTTCTCTACTGTTCCGTTTTAATTTTAATTTTAAATTGTTTTGCATTATATGGCCGTTTGCTGTTTCATGGGTTTTCCCCATTTGCCTTTAAAACTTATATTATTTAAGAATCTCTATTGAGATCCAGCGCCGCCATTGATGCACGGAAGAGATTGCATCTTTAGATCTCTGATCTTGTTCACTAATTCACGGACTAGTGCTGTCTCGTAAGAATTTTGTAGCACGCGTTAAGAATGACAAAATATTCTCTGTATCTACTGGTACCGAGCCGCATAGCTTGTATTCCACTATTTGCATTCACACCTGGGCTGTGTATATATATTGCCTTGGTTTGGCTCTATAATCATTAGTGGTCGTGGGAATAGTTCGGGCCCTACCTAAGCTGGTCGAACGTTTTGTTTGGGTCTGTACCCTAGCTGCACTGATGAGGCCTGGAAGGCCGAAACGGATCCGTCTCCAGATATTGGGATTCCTTCCAGTGGATGCTTAGTTTATTTTGTCATTCTGATCGGATTTTCTCTACTGTTCTGTTTTAATTTTAATTTTAAATTGTTTTGCATTATATGGCCGTTTGCTGTTTCATGGGTTTTCCCCATTTGCCTTTAAAACTTATATTTATATAAGATAATCTATCTTGCCATGACAACATACAACTTATATTATGTCGACTTGTCAAGATAATCTATCTCGCCATGACAACATACAATATGTATTATGTCGACTTGTCAGTATAATCTATATCGCCATGACAACATACAATCTTTACTATGACGACTTGTCAAGATAATCTATCTCGCCATGTCGACATGATATGTATATTATGTCGACTTGACAACATAAATTAGCTTGACAAGTCGTCAAGTCGAATGGCACTTAGGTGCTTCCGTAATTATTACATTAAATGAATTGATAAATCAATCTGCAACTACATCAACAACAGCATGATAAAACATAATGCAAGAAATACTAAACAAGAACATATTTGTTATTTCAAATCGCCGTATGTTGGAATATCCACAATCACCAAAAAACGTATTAACGATATCACAAAAATAAATACTACGTATGATTTGCAGATAAAAAAATTTTTTTTTGACTCATTCCAGATTGTAAACTATTTAGTATAAATGATCCCATCTCTAAGACTATATGAGTATATATCAATTTATATGTGTTGCATGTAGTGCACTGCGTGTATTGACGCCAGTTACAAACAAGAACTATTGAGTACCTAACCAGGTTCAAATCAAAGTTCAATTGAATTCAATTCATTTATTCTCTTCAACTGAGTACAAAATGAACACACCAACAAAAAAAAAACAGACAAAAGGGAGGCAGGCTTCCCAAAAAGAAATTAAAGTCAACGTCGAGTTGGTCGCCAAACCCAATATATAAAAATTTCATATAAAAATACAAAACATTTTTCAATAATAAAAATAAAAAGGATAAAATACTCTATAAAACGATTAAAAATTTTCAAATTTCTCAATAACAAAAAAAAAAAAAAACCAAAAATCTGAAAACAATCTTGAATGTGGTAAAACATGTCGTGAAGAATGGTTTCAAATTATCGACACAGCTAACACGGAGTTTTAATAAGCAATCAAAGAAGCACTACACATAAATGGGGAAGAATCCTAACCTAAACAAACTAGAGCGACCGCTCACCGGTCCGAGCGTTCCTCCACGCTTAAATACGGTACAGGCGCATGTTATGGGGTTTTTTTTTGAAGAGCTAATAAAATAGAAATTTTTAAATAATTAGAATGTTTATTTATACAAAAAAGAACTATTATTTAGAATGTTCATTTGTACAGAATTGAAATAACTTAAAATTAAAAAACAAAAATCTTAAAATTTGAAAAAAAAAGTGAATACCAAGACACTATTCGAACTCACGACCGTTGGTTAGAACACATCCATAACCGACCGCACCATTCATGCGACGTGCATGCTCTATCAGTGGTAATGGCAGTAATATATATAGGCCTAGTCTATTCTGAAACCCCTGTTTTGTTTTGTAGGTGTAGGGAAACCATGGGGAGGGGGTCCAATTTAAAAAAACAAAGGCGATGAACGTTTGCTGGAAATCACCTCTAGTTTATGTGTACACAATTTCATGCACGTCCGTTGAAACAAGGACTTTTAACTGTTACCAGGATAGGAAGCTGGTTGGTTTAAGCCGTCTAACTTGCCTTATGTGTGGTATCGTTATGCTAATGAGGCAAATAAGCGCAATCTGCACACACACACACATATATATATATATATATATATATAATATAAACTTCCCTTTGATGGTAGAACGTGTAGACTTGATTTTAATGTACGAATGATTATTATTATTATTATTATTATTATTATTATTATTATTATTATTATTATTATTATTATTCATTCTGAGTTGAACGGCAACGAATCCGATACCCGAGGGCGCCAGCATGTTTATTATAAATAATTGTTGATAGTGAAACTAAATAAATAGTATATAAAAGCAGCAGGAACTAAATTAATCGGATATACATATAGTCCTGCATGAAATATGCAATAGAAAGCTTTTGCGGCAGTCGGGGTCTTAAAAGTTATTGACAAGAACGGTTCTATGAATATCTTGTCATTCGTGTGTAACTACAGCAGCAAACTGGAAGTTAGCAGAGATGAAACTTTTGGTTACTTCTCTGCTCGTCACTTTTCTTTTATGGCAGGCTGAAGCTCAGTCGGGTAAGTAGATTTGGACCATGTCAATGACATACGTAATGTATATTTTTATTATTATTGATAATGCAACATTTTATCAGTAATAATTTAAATTTTTTTTTTGTTTCTATTCATACGAATCAAATGGTTTTTATTAGTTGAGGTTTATTGGCGGACAGTAATATACTGTACATATCAGATTTTATAACTTGTACACAATACAATAAAATCGTTCGGATACTCTAAAATGTCAAGAAAATCGAGTTGGCCTACCATTTTCTCGACCACGTCGTTACTAGGTAGATTCATTGGTTTAGATCACATTCGCTATTATACTCGCCAC